TAGCTGAGTAAACTTGGGCAAGAGCCCTGCAAAGGTGTGTATTACCATCTTCATTTGATGTAGTGGAAATGTAGGCTTAGAGAAACTAAGTAGGACAATATATGTGAAGCACTTTTAGTAGCTTGCTGGCCCATAAAAGGCATTCAGAAATTGGTAGCTATTATTAATAAGAGTAACAACAGCAGCAATCTATGTGTTACTGACTTCCATATAGTGGAAATAAAATAGAAGATGGAAGTTGTCCAGTGTTTCATCATTTCATAGGTATAAATATTTATCACATATACAATTTTGGGTCCAAACTATTTGATTGGTGAAATTTAAAACCCAGGAGAACTGATTTGTGTCCACTTAGTATCCTAGGTAACTTACAAAGAAACCTTCCATTCTTGTACTTTTTTCTTACAAATCCTCCATGTCTTTTACCTGTTGTTAACTGATATATAATTGCCATCTCTTCTGGCTACTTATTGCCACATAACAAATTACCCAAACCGGGTGGCTAAAATAACAACCATTTTAATATAGCTCATAATTTTGTAGATTGGGATTTTAGGCAATGCTAAAGTGGGTGATTCTTTGGGGGTCCCTGCAGCATTCACTGGGATCACTGGGTGGTATTTAGCTGGTACCTGGACCAATCTGGGGAGCCCAAGATAGTGTGCTTCTATGCCTGGCTCTTTGATGGGTATTGCTAGAGGGCTAGGCTCAGCTGGGCCTTACCAATTTCCATGTAATCTCAGGGCCTTCCCACATGGTCTCTCTATCTGTAGTTGGACATCTTATGTGATAGTTCAGGGCTCCAAGGATCCAAAGTGAAGGCTGCCAGTTCTCTTACAGGTTGAGCCTGGCTCTGGCACAGTATCACTTCTAACATAGTCCATTGAAATATTTGACAAAAATTTCAAATTTGAACAAATTTGAAAGCAATCCATAGATCCAGGAAGTTCACCGAACTCCAAGCAGGTTAAATACAAAGAAAATCTCACCTAGGCATATTATAATCAAACAGTTGAAAAGTAAAGATATAAAGAAAGTTTTAAAAGCAGCCAGAGAACAAAGAATACATTGCCTACAGGAAAATAATAAGAATAGAGTTGATTACCATCAGAAATAAAGGAGGCCAGAAGATATTGAAGGGTATTTTCAAAGGGCTGAAACAAAAATGGCTTTGCTAGAATTCTATGATATTTTAGCAAAAACATTTTTCAAATGTAAGGTAAAATCTATTTTCAGATAAATGAAAGCTGACAAAATGTGTTCCCAGCGGAATCACATTAAAATGCTAAAAGAAGCTCTTTGGGCTAAAAAGGAATAATTGGATCCACAGGAGGGAATGACCAATGAAAATATTAAATATGTGAGTATGTACAAAAGACTATTTTTTCTTTACTTGAATTATGTAAAAATTAA